GGCACAGGCAACAGGGAATAACAAGCCGTCCAATCAGAGCTCTGATATAATATCGAACTTATACCCCAAAACTCTGATTGGATGGCTCGTTATTCCCTGTTGCCTGTGCCTATTTCCTGTGTCTATTGTGTTTCCAGCTTAAGAGGAATGATCCAATCTCAGCAGAGAATCATAAAATGGTTGCAAAACTGTTGTGTTCTGCTAAACGCAGCCAATAAGACTATTCTTTTTGGCTGAACTTTTGCTCCAATTCATCTTTCTTCCTTTTCTCTTCAGGAGGAAAGAAAAACTTTTGGCAAAAGTTCAGCCAAAAAGTCTAGGGAAATACTATAGTATACGTAACGTATACTGTAGCATTTCCCTAGATTTTCGTATACGTTTCTTTTCAAGAATAGAGCCCCTGGCCTATTATTCAACCATGGGACGCTCCATTTATCTTATAAGTCTATGGTCGTTACATTGGATACTGTCGATAGTGCCGATACTGGTCGTTCGTGGTCGCCTGCTTGTGGGAACTATTAAATAAAAAAAGTAGAATAAAAGGAATCCAATTTATTCAACGGAGTCAAACGGGGTTTAGAAAAGAAGAGTTATATTGATTTATTCTATAAATAAATCGGTTTTGAATAATCACAAAATGATTTTTGCTTCTGCTTTGCAAAGAGTTCCAATAACATGTGGCAAATCATATTTTCGAACTATTAGTAAAAGTTCCTCCGATAAATCTATAAATATTAACGTGATGAAAGAAAATGACATGGTAAGGGCACGTATTGACAACTAAAAATTGATTATACGAGGTTAACTGTAGATTTTTTAGTACATTTTGAAATATGTAAAAAATGAAAAGTTATAAAGTAGACATATATTTCAGTAAAAAGTTTATTACATACATTCGACGTTTATCTTTTAATGAAATTAGATTTATTTGACGCGTCTTTGTATGTAATGAATGAAGCTAGCAGAAAAAAATTCGCTCTACCCCGCAAACTGAGATATTAAGCATTAAAGTTGACGACTGTTCAGGTTAGGAAATCTGTCACATTGATGGCATAGAGGATTACACAAATGCTCTACTTTAAAAACAAATTATCTGCGTTAAAAACACGAATTCCCTGCTTTATGGCTGTTCTACAATGTGCTTTTTTTTCCTGTTTCTTGCTGTCTGTTTCTTGTCTTGATCCAAAACAGCAAAAAACAGGAAACAAAAAGCACATTGTAGGACAGCCATTAATATCTCAGGTCACGGGGCAAAGCGACATTTTTTTCTGTCAGATTCGTTTATTTTGTACAAAAATGCGTCAAATGAGCTTAATTTCCTCAAAATCGATAAATATGCCCGTCTCCTTCATATAATTATCCTTATCTGTTTTGAATGATTTTATATTTATTGTATATGACATTTGTTTCTTTTTTATTTGTAGCCAATCCAAATTAAAAATCCTTATGTGAAAGAAAAGCAAGAGTGTATTCTTTGTAGATTAGACATTGAACCAGATTATAAAAATGTGAGGTTACTTTCACAATTTCAAAGTCGATATACAGGCAGGATATATGGAAGACACATAACTGGATTGTGTAAACATAAACAGATGAGATTAGAACAAGAAATTGCAAAAGCTCAAAGTGCAGGTATGTATAAATATACATATGTTTTTTTATATAACTTAACTTTTATTCTATACCTTGCGAACTGATAATATCTCAAAAGAATTTTCAATACAGCTATTTCATAAGTTCTTTTGTGATGGTTTTCTTTTTATTTACTATTGTAATATTGTGTTATTCCCTGAAAAAAATCACATCACAAAGTTACATAACGAAATCATGTATTTAAGAAAAATAAATTATGTAAAAGATTATTCCAAATCAGTATGTAATTTTTTAAATATAAGTAATTTGAAAAATCACTTGATAGTAGAAATAATTTCACCCATGTGACTTTATAGTTACCAAATTTTGAAGAATTAAGTGATAGAAATAGAAGAAAAAAACATGACTTTTCAAATTATATGATTGTAAAAAATCATATACTGATTTAGAACAACCTACTATGTGATTTATTTGTCTTAATTACATAATTTTATTATGTGTTATAATTTTATGACGTGATTTTTTTCAATAGGGATTTAGTAAACTTGACAATTTGGTGACATACTGTTTTGGACAAAATATATGCAGGACAATGTGCTTCATATAAAAACAAGATTTTAACAATATGTTCAATTTTTGATTGTAAAAATTATATACTACGAATTTTATTTAATTTATCGATGCAGATCAATAGTTTGACTAAGTTTATTATGTATTATGCGAAAATTGAGTTTCTAATTGCATTAATTATTATACAACAAGATAATCAATAGGCTCAGATGAATAAATCTAAAAATAATAAATAAAATGCCAATAGGAGCCAACACAAGATATTAATGTGTGTTTTAATACAATTTATTCGAAATGAATAATAAAACGTATATGTTTCGACCTACGGTCAAGGTTCTCTACAGTGCAAAGAAAATTAAATTAAATATACATATAAAATATATGCTAGTAGTGCATATAAGATATACATTATTAAGTTTAAGAAACAAAAAACTGGTGGTAATGTCCAAGTTAAAGTCAAATCTTGTTCATCAAATTGTTAAGTTTACTAAAAATATTGAATCAAAAACCAAAAGTTAGAAACTGTTTTTGATAGTTAACATAAAATTTTCCACACAAATTATAATAAAATATTGTGAGAGGATCGTCAGGATAGCAAGCAATGACAATAAAACAAGGATGTAGACTTGACAAAACGGATATATATATTCAGTATCAAACACAACGTTCTCCTCGCTCAGGTCTCGACATCAAGCATAGTTCGCAACGCCTCTTCCCCCGCTCGGTCGACTCAACGTTTAGTAAGTGCGTTCAGAAAACGGAGAACGACAACTCGCGAGAATGCCATCTCACAACTGCTGCTTGATCCAAAATCTCTCTCACAGTTCGGGCATTCTGACATCATGGTCGTCTCGACCATCTTTACTGTCCGAACTATGTCCACTTTCTTCGGGGTCTTCTATTCGTTTCTGACAAAGCTTTAAACGCTCTGGTCCAAATACGCCGGTGAAAGGTCGCTGGGTTATTTGAAACCCTTCTATATCTTTAATTACGTATCTATCATGGTTCAGGACTGAATTTACAATGTAAGGCCCTTTATACTTAGGAGCTAGTTTTTGATTAACGCCGGGAGTCGTTATAACATTCTTAATCATTACATGATCGCCGACATTATACACTGTGGGTTTCTTATGCTTCGCATCATATATCTGCTTGTTATAATCTTGTAATGCACGCGTTTTTACAATAGCTTTTCCTCGAAGCTCGCTTCGGTCTTTGTCTAAGTTTTGAATAGTATGAAAGTACTCTCTAAGGTTATCATCTGCGAAACCGTATTGATCGCTACCAAACAATAATAGGCTAGGTGTTGTGCCGATTGTCTTATGCAGCGTATTATTTAACGAGAACTGACTCTTAGCCATGAAATCAGTCCATTTTCCCTCTGATGATAGTTTTGAAAGGATAGAACGCAGGAAACGGTTAACTCGTTCTACTTGTCCATTACTCTGAGGGCTAGCGGTTGCTACTTTAAC